TTAATTTGAACTGATTGCATCCTCCACCACTCCCAACTACCAGAATATGCGTGTATCCACGTGCACCATTATGATGAAGGGTGGTGGTAGTGCTTTTAAATCAATTACTATTACCACCCACAACACAAACACAAACACAACTCAACACACCACTTTGCCAAATATATATAATATATAATATATAATAAAAATAAAATCAACCTCAATATCTCCTTCTATCCTTTCGGTGGGCAGATTCAGATTGGATATCATCTGCACGGATTGGGTTTACATCTTCCACCCTTCCCTTCTCCGCTAGATACCCTTTTCAGGGACCCCATTTTCACACTTTCTTCAATAAAACACACTCTCATTCTCTCTTTCTGGATTTTTATTTGTATAAAGATGAGATCTTTAGGTTTGGTTGATTCATGGGTTCAAACGTGTTCCATGCTTAATGGATCTTCGTCTTCTTCTTTTGTGGGATTCATCTGTACATCACCTCTCAAATGTGGTAAACCCCATTTCAAGAATCATCCAAGATCCAGATTTTCTTCTTCTTCTTCTTCTTTCTCCGTTTCTGCTGTGATTGCAAAGGAAGACCAAGAAATCTCCTCCGATTTCCAAAAATCCAGCTTCAGTTTCAAGGCTTACATGGCGGAGAAGGCTAATTCGGTAAACARGGCSCTGGAAGAATCCATTTCCATTAAAACTCCACCCACAATCCACGAAGCTATGCGTTACTCCCTCCTCGCCGGAGGCAAGCGTGTCAGGCCCATCCTCTGCATCGCCGCCTGCGAGCTTGTCGGTGGGGATGAATCCACCGCCATGCCTGCCGCCTGTGCTGTTGAAATGATACACACCATGTCCTTGATCCACGACGACCTCCCTTGCATGGATAACGACGATTTTCGCCGTGGAAAACCAACTAACCACAAGGTTTACGGCGAAGACGTGGCGGTTCTTGCCGGAGACTCGCTCCTCGCCTTCGCTTTCCAACATGTCTCCAGCGCCACCGTCGGCGCGTCGCCTGCACGCGTCCTGGCCGCCGTCGGCGAGCTCGCGAAGTCTATTGGGACGGAAGGGTTGGTCGCGGGTCAAGTGGTGGACATAGCTTCAACAGGGGCGAAGGACGTCGGACTGGACCAGCTTGAATTCATCCACATACACAAAACGGCGGCCCTTTTGGAGGCAGCCGTCGTATTAGGGGCCATATTGGGCGGAGGGAATGAGACCCAGGTGGAAAATCTTCGGAAATTCGCAAGATGTATTGGACTATTGTTTCAGGTGGTGGATGATATATTAGACGTCACCAAGACGACGGAGGAATTGGGGAAGACCGCCGGAAAAGATTTGGTGGCAGACAAGATGACATATCCAAAACTGATGGGTATGGAGAAATCGCGGCAGTTTGCGGAGGAGTTGTTGGCGGAGGCTAAACAGCAGTTAGAGGGGTTTGAGTCATACGAGGCGGTGGCGCCACTAGTAGCTCTGGCGGAGTATATAGCTTACCGGCAGAACTGAAACCAAGCTTTTTTTTATTTTCGATGAGTTTGAGTCTTCTCCATCGATGTTGTAAAATCGGTTTTACCTGCAACATAATTATAAACTAATTAGCAAATTAGATTCATTATTATTTCCATTTTCATGGACATCCAATGTGCATAATAGAATCATATGAAAAGCTTCATCCAATGTGCATTACAGAATCATATGAAAAGCTTCATCCAATGTGCATTACAGAATCATATGAAAAGCTTTACAAATGTTGATCAGATGATTTGGAAAGGAGTAGGCTAAATGCACACCATTGTTAAATCAAGGCTGACTTTTTACATTTCAATGTATCCACTGCTAGTTTACAAATKGTTCGCATTCTCAGAACAGCAAAGGTCTAAAACTTCATGAAAGAATGGACTTGATAGTAGTACACATTTGGAAAAGTGCATATATTCTTAACTTAATCCAACCAAATCAAACAAATAAACTTGGTATATCCCACCTGAAGTCAATAAGATATAAGCAGACTTTACCTCTAGCTTGGTATATCCCAACTGAGGACAATAAGATGTAAGCAAATCTTACCTCTATCTCAATTGTTGAGTGGGTCCACRGGATTCCAAAATATTGCCAGCCAGAAGATTCCGAACGAAAGCGTTATTGGTATGTGCTGGAAAAGTATCTTGAATCTTGAAAGCGAAGTGGTTCATTCCCCCAAGATGTCCATCCAGCTAACAATTCTCTAGCAAAGAGTTCAATGCCATGAGCAGGTCCTGATCCACGTATATAATCCAGTAGCATTTCTAATAACAACCCATTGATGAGTAGGATAATAAGGAGCATAATCATGGGTTAAATTAGGATTCTTCTAATGATTACAATTTTAACCTAATCCAACTAGTTTTAAAGAAAGTAAAAAAGAATTGATGTAAYAAGAATCATTTGGATGAAACATGATAGAAAAGAACAGTAGATTGCGCAAGGAAATGGGAAAACTTTACAATCGTGTAAATCAAAAAAATGATCCAATTTAACCACAAAAGTAGAGCTTTAGATATAATGTATATGCTATTATGCTAATACCTCCTATTGGGGGTTTCCTCGAGTAATCTCCGGGGATGCTGAGRAGCACTTGACCATCTGGAATGGATTTGAGTTTCGAGAAACACTCGGAATCCTCATCCTGTAGATATTATGATAAAACTTTTGTTGTGGATATAATTGAAAGGCTGAATGTAATATTTATTATTTAATCATTTAATCAGATAAAGATGAAATAAGTTCTAAAACAAATCGAGCTTCTTCACCTTTGGACAACAATAACCAAGGACCAGACATTCATATGGTCTATGATGGAAGAGATCCAATTCACCAATCAAAGAACCATTTGGTTTCACCTGTAATGGTAACAAGGGACCATGTTAGTCTCGGGTTTTCAAGATTTAGTACCGTCTCTCCACTTCAATCCCATAAAGGGGACTTTCATCAAATTGAGTCCTAAATCACTTGAAATAACTAATGATGTATTCTACAAGAAGATTTAGTAATATGTTTCATAGAAACATCTCAAAGATTTACATYTAACTAGATTTTGCAGAAAACAGTGTGCAACTTCAAGAAGTTAACAACCATAATAAAACATCATCACTCAGAGAAAGTAAAATATGGTAACGAGAAAAGAGCACTCAGAAAAGCTTGTAAAATCCTTGGTACTAAGAAAATGCAGACCACAAAAGAGGGTTTCAAGGTTCAAAAAGTTGACTCATATGGCTCATATATTTGGCCAGAATTGAAAAGCAGTTTTTAGCAGAGAATGACAAATCACCTTCAACCARTAATGAGTTGCCATGTACTTGACTCCCCATTTAGGGAATAGATCTTTTTCAACAAATATCCTTAGTTTCTCCTTATTGGTTACCCACAGAGCTACCAACGCTCCATCTGCATGAGCAAGTCTTTTAATAGGAAGACACAAGAAGTATCGATTGGGCAAAGTTGGGTACCTAAAATCATGTGAAAGATGAWTTAGTGCAAAAGACATTCTCTTAACTGTTTGCAACAATGAAGATTAAATTAGATATTGAGGGACAGAGAGATGGAAAGAAAAACAGCAGGAACTAAYGGCCTCGATACAAATAAAGGTTGTCACAGTTTATACCTGTTGCAATTCATGAATTATAGTCAGAGCTAATTGTAGTATTTAGACTATTCTTTGAACTTGTGAACCTCATATCTTGTAGGCAAGCCTTACAGCCTTACTAYGGTTTTATATGTGCTAGATAGAAGTTATATTATGTGCTAGTGTGATAGATGGATCAAGTATATGCTCACGAACATTTCGATATGCAAATTGTACATYAGGCTAAACAGCTTAAGAGAAGTTAAAAGGAAGTTTGAAGTTGGAGCTGCMAAACTAGTAATGGGAAGGTTGATATGATTGTCGATGATGCATATGACCCCACACTACGCTTGAATGAATCGATTGAAAGAAAATTGAAGAGGACCAACGATGGCTACAAAGAGATCCTTAGATGGCTTGATGGGTGCAGAGAACATAGAATAGAGTAAACAAAAGAAAAGCATAAGAAAAACCGCAGGTAAATCTTTACAGTTTTAGGAACTAGAAAAAAGAGAGGAAAGACGTGTATATAAGTTGACTAAGATGCGCAAAAATATTCTAGGGGACCAAAGTTACATCAAATACATAAAGATGAGAAACAAGATTCCTGGTAAATTGATGAAGTTAGAGAATGATGGAGGGGTYAGCTTAATAGTTTATTCAATAAAAGAAGGGGACCGTATGTAAACTTCACCAAATGGAAGTTTGTACACACATTCGGACTGTTTAAGGTGAAGAAMGCACTAAGATAGCAATATGTAAAGGCTTCAAGGCTTGGTACTGTTCCTACCATTGTTTGGAGAAACCATTGGGAACCAGCAATTGTATGTCTCCCTTGGTTATTTAGTCAGTTCATGTATTCCTCATGGTCACTGGGATGCAGTTCTATGGATTTTGAGGTACTTCAGTTCAAGGCCTCTCTAGGGAGAGCTTTTTTGTTGTATTACGATCAAGGACACTGTAGAATTTACCAAAGAAGGTTCTGGAAAGATTTGGGTTCTCAGGATGTCTGTATTCTAGTCTGTCTACCATCGGCTGCTTTGTTTTTGTAGGTGGGAATCTTGTATAGTGAAAAAGCAAGAAGCAACAAACTGTAAAACTGCATCCCGGTCTAGTGTTGAATCCAAATACTGAACTAATGAAACCCTTACGAACGACAAAGATAGTTAGACTTATTTGCAGCAAGTTGGGCTTGATTGACATCTATGCTCCAACTTGAGGAGTGTTGTTCCRATAGTCATCATAATGTACAACTCTCAAATGTTTCTCTTGATATGTTTATCTTAGTAGATTAGCTTTATTTTGATCCATCCTTTTAACCCATATAAGGAGGTTTTCATTCTCAATAATAAATCAGTSTTTTTTAGTTCTAATCATTTCAGTTGCTAACAAACTTATTTTCCTTGAACAAGGCATAAGGCAGAGTTACTTAAGAATTTGAACGTTTGCTTAAGTTTTTGGTAACCATTGTTGTTTTCACAAGGTCGATAGACCACAATAAGATTAAAATCAGTACCAGAAATTTAATTTCTCATGTAGAAGGAAGGCTATTGTTCATTTTCCTTCAAAGGTGTTGGCCCATATCATACAATAGTAATGTGTGGCATATGTTAATAATATGTATTCCATTGAAATAACAGAAACAATGATTTGAGTGGTGGCATACACAAAAAGGTTGAACTTTGATAGGAGTGAATGGAAGCATACAAAAAGGGTGATCTTCAATACTAGTGTGTGGAAGGATTTATTTTGAGCCCCAAAGTTCTATGTAATATCTGTTGGGTTTCATTTTTACCTGACCCAACTTATATCAGGTTACAAATTAAATATGCACTCTTTGAAGTAGCATAATTGCCTAAAGAATACGAGTACTTACTTCAATTTTTGGGAAGCACTGCTATTTTCCCAAGGTGGATCAATCACAATAATATTGAATCCGCAATCACGTTTCACTGCAAGAGGATGCAATGAAGATTCAAATTTCATGCTGAAGCAAAGCCTACTATCTTCCACACAGCAAGTGTATTCAATTTCCTTGAGGGGTGTCATACAAAACACATGAGATGCATAGAAGAAAGTTAAATGAAGTACATTTTGATAATATTTAGAAAAGAAGAAAATGAAGTTTCTATAAGTGCCACAAAAATATATGAATAACTAATTCCCACCAAGAAACAGTTAATGCACCAAAGGACAAACATTTGAAACTGATCATGATTTTTTTTTCTCCGTGTTAATCCACCAGATTAATATTGATTAGTTCATATCGAGTTAGCCATTAACCCTAAACACACATTTGCTTTTAGGGTTCAAAATTTAAAGAATCTACAAAGATGGTAAATACCTTGGAGGTCTTTTTTGGGTTTGGACCCTCCCCCACCCCCTTTCTACCTCATCATTATTAACTATTAACATATGTCATCACATAAACTGGACCTATATGAGAMCGGTAGCCAATTCACTATAAGGTGAACCATATTTGATGCATATATCTTTCCAAGATGATTACTATTAGGTTATGAATGACTTGTAAAAAAACTTCTATTTGTCAAACATTACCAGGGATCAGGCCATGAATCTTCTTCAGATCAGACTTCCACATGTGAATCAAGAAAACATACAGAGATTGTAAGCCAAACTGAATAAATAATAGTGCAACTTGAAAGGAAAAGCRCGTACAAAAAACTAAAACTAAAGATAAATTTACAAGAAYGCTTGCATCAAATATACATTGTCTTAATGGGAGACAAGATACCATATTGTTTARTAAATTAGACACATAAAAATGTAAGCTCACCATGTAAAAGGAACTCTTTCTGGGTATTATGTACTTGCGATTTAGAAAATCAGCCTCCATGTCGCWGTTTGTCTCATTTGCAACCAAGCTGCCAAATGCTGGAATATTTCTTTTTTCACAGTTTTGAACAGACTGGGAACCTGAAGAACCAATTAAACAACAGATATGAATCTAAATAACTTACTTAAGTGATTGTGTAACACCAAACAATTTTCCTAGGTTATAGCATCTTAACCACAAACACCAAGACTSTGAACTTGTTAAGTTATAGGCTTGCAGTTGAATACGGTTTCAGCAGTGTGGTTGTCCATGTTAAACAACTTCCTGAAAGGTCTGATTCTAWAGAAAATTAAGTCGATACAACCATTATTAGCAGTGACTTGGCAGTACTTCCTCAGTCCTCCCCCTCTCACACAAACCCCTATCAAAACCCAAATGTTGGTTCACAACCATGTCCTAACTACGCACATTTAAATAAGCAATCCCAAACACCCCCTAAAAACTACCAAAGCATTTTAGATGGAGCCTTAACATGATGGTGCTTTTATCATCTAACTAATATGTACATGTATTTTGATATTTCCAGCAAGTAGAATTAACTTGAGCAAAACAGTCATGGACAGTACCTTGTTTTGAGGTGTAATCCTGATTAAGATRCAGTGAAATTTCAAACAATGGAGCTTGCCATACGCTCCCAAGCTCAACAAACGAATGCTCATCACTTGCTACCGTACAGTCAGATGTTAAGAAATCATCATTCCTCAATTTCTTCAAATTTAGCAAAAGATCATTAGCTTCGAGCAAACATTCGTGCGCCTTCATCAAGAAAGGTTTCGCCTTCTGCAACAATTACGCACCCAATTTCACACCATATCACACAAGATATGGATAAATATCTGCTCAATCTTACGTGAATTTTCCTACACTAATTAAAGTTACCTGATGGCGTTCGTCAGCTGCTTGTTCTCTTTCATTAAGCGYGCGAGGTTTTTTCTCTTTACGTTTCCGTTTTCTTTGATTTTCCGAAACCCTATCTTCACCGGACGGACTCGGTTCAAAGAAACGAGAGTAGTAAGAAGATGGAGAAACCCTAAAATGCGTGTAGGACAGGCTGAGGACACGAACTGGATCCATGAATACCGCATTTGATCCTTCGAACCGGTAAATCCCTGACTGCAAGAACRTCGATAGTTTCTCGTCAACGTCTGTTTTAGCACCTGCCATGATCGGAGTTCGAGTTTTTACGGCTGCCGGACAAGTTTAAAAGCAATAAGCTAAAATTTTGATACTGGTTACCGGCGAGGAACAGTAGCTTCCGGTGTTACGCCCATATACATTTCTCTTTTTGACTGAATTACGGATTTGGTCCCTGTGGTTTGGTGAAAATCACTAAAAGAGTTCCTAAACTCTGTTTATTATAGATTTGGTCCACATAGTATTCATTTTCTTAGAAATCCAACCACTAATGGAAGTTCTATTGTTTTATACTTTTCTCCCTCCCTCCCTTTTAGGCATCGCAATGGGGCGGGGATGGGCGGGTTTTGTAATCCCCGGCCCCGGTTTTTAGTAATAGCCCCCGGCTTCGGTACCCGACGGGTGCAGGGATTAACATCCCGTCTTCGGTAAAACCTCGGTCAAACCCTATGAAAAATATATGTTTGTTTGAGTCTACCGGGGATCCCCGAGCCCGGTTTGAGTAACATCCCCCGGTCACGACCCCGGTTTGAGTCTACTGGGGATCCCGGCCCTGGGACCCGTTTTAGCAGGGAATCCCCGTCCACGGTCGGGTTGGGTGAGTCGGGTTCCCCACCGGATCGAGGCACATCACCATCCTTACTCCCTTCTTATGGAGCAAAAGGACAAAAAATAGAGTAAACTACCAATTTGGTCCCTGCGGTTTATCATAAAAGAACACTTTCGTCTTTATAGTTTTATAATTACAAGATGGTCATTCTTAATGCCAAAAAAATCACCGAAAATAACTTTAGGATGGTTTATGCAGCTTTTACAATAGAAGATTGAATTCTTTGAAATAAACACGACAAATGATAAAATAAAAGGACAAGAGAACTGGTGRTGCGAAAAATCCCTGGTCGAGGGAGAAAACCGCGGACGGTAATGAATATCATCGATGTACTATAGACGTCAATCAGGGACRTCGTCCTTGATAACAATGAATAAAATGATTGATCATGGATAAACGCATTGTGTCACGGATAACAACTCAAGACAATAGTAATGAATTTTCTAAGATGATTTCAGTAGCTTGTTCTTCGTAGCTTAAATATTGCTCAGAGAATTATATGTCTCGTTTGAATATGGTTGATCCTTTTATAGGTATTGTGAATATGGTTGTCATTTAAGAGTCTTTATGAAGTAATGGTCGATTCTTGGTTATGTTATTAATCATTAATCGTTAAAACCTACAATAAATGTCAAAGATAACAGATGTCGAGGTTAGCATAGAATAATGAGCATCGTAGGTTTGGTACATCCTAGATAGTGATAAAAACGTCTTGATTGCAGATAATCACGATCATGGGTGAGGACTTCGTGGTCATGGATAATCACGACCATAAGTCAATGATCTCTTGGTCACGGGAATCCTGATTGTTGATATCACGATCGTAATATCCTAGATGAACAATGTTATGGATTTTTTACCCAAACAGTCATTTTCGTCTTCTTATAGATTTTTTGTCTATTAACRTATCAAAATCGATTTTATGATTTTGGACTTTGTTGTTTTTTATTGTGTAAAAGACAAAAAAAATCAATTAAAAACGGAAATGTCCCTTGTTTAATGAAATACATTAACGGCTGTTAGAGAAAAGAGACCAAATTCGGACGTTTTTACAAATCATAATGGTCATCTTTTAAATTTGAACTGCAGGGAGAAAAATGGCAAATTTATAGTCAATGATGTAAAAAACCATCAAACTACTCAATMCGTCCAACCAAACTTGTTAACAACYCAATTAAACTCAACCTGYCAAACCGTTAAACCGTCAATTAARAAGGTTGAAATTGGGTTMGCTTAGCTCAATCCAACTCAACTCGCCAACTCACCGCTAGTATATACAACTTTGATAAAATTTTATTCATATCTATATATTATATACTAATCTATTATATCACACATATGTAGAATAATAATATTATATATATATATATATATATTAATAATGTGTGAAATTTTATATAATGTTGTTGAGTTTATATTTTGTATTTTTTTAGCTAAATGCATAGATTATCAAAAGAGATTCATCATCAAAAAATAATAACAAAAAATCAAATAGAAGAAAATTAGTGAAATCGTTTTTAAAATACTTTATGTTATTGAAAATGAAATTGGAAACAATTTTTTGGTTGTTCCAAAAAAATTAAATAAATATCAACCTTAATACATGGTATGAACATATTCTTCTGAATACCACTCATGGGAAGAACATCCTCTCGTTAGTTTTAAAGGCCAAAGAAATGTCTCCATMTATTACTGATAGTCTTTCTGATTTGCTTCTCCGAAGTACCAAAGGCAAGCATGACATTCATCCCAGACCTATTAGAAATGGAAAGTCAGGGAAATGCTTTATGTGGAGCTCGGACTCCGACGGGGGAAAGAGTGGAGAATTATAATATTCGTGTTCCGTTAACTCGTACAWATTAGATTAAGTGAATTTTTGGTAAAATTATGCATAATATATTTGTACCATATGTTTAACCAACTTGTACTTCAGACGAGTTTTGTGACAAAAGTTGAGTTTATACCTATATTTACATAAAGTTGAGAATCTAACTTGATGGGTTAAAACCGCCAAATAATTAAACTTTATATATATATATATATATATATATATATATATATATAGAGGGTGGTTCAAATACTAACCCATTTTTTTGTGTTAACTCTACTAAACAACATCAACCAATCACATTCTTTCTTTACTTTATGTTCAAATGTAACTTATAAATTTAATACAAGGATCATTTTGTAATTTGACCTTTATGTAACTCCCTAATAATTATTTGGGAGTTACAAATCTTTTAAGATCCCTCTAATTGATCATGAGGTAATTCCGATGTTCACGGTGTTCATGGCGTTCATATCCATGTAATATCCATGAACATTCACCGTGTTCATATAAATGTTCA